TATTTTTGTATTATTTGGTAATATTGTGTAATTATTAAATAAAATAAATCTGTTTTCTTTATTTTTTACTGTTTTTATTTTTTTTGTTCTTCAAAGATATATTCGGACCGAAAACGGTGTGGATATATTTATAAAATGACGCCTGTTGGGAGACGAAACTTTTAAAAGTTACAAGCAAGTCCAATATGTTCGGACCGAAAACGGTGTGGATATATTTATAGAATGACGCCTGTTGGGAGACGGAACTTTTAAAAGTTACAAGCAAATCCAATATGTTTGGACCGAAAACGGTGTGGATATATTTATAGAATGACGCCTGTTGGGAGACGAAACTTTTAAAAGTTACAAGCAAGTCCAATATATTCAGACCGAAAACGGTCTGTATATAGTTTGAGAATGACGCTTGTTGGGAGACGAAACTTTAAAAAGTTACAAGCAAATCCAATATGTTCGGACCGAAAACGGTCTGTATATAGTTTGAGAATGACGCCTGTTGGGATACGGAACTTTAAAAAGTTACAAGCAAGTCCTATATGTTCGGACCGAAAACGGTCTGTATATAGTTTGAGAATGACGCCTGTTGGGATACGAAACTTTTAAAAGTTACAAGCAAGTCCTATATATTCGGACCGATACCGGTCGGTATATGTTTATAAAATGGCGCCGTTTGGGAGACGGAACTTTTAAGAGTTACAAGCAAGTCCAAAATATCCGGACCGATACCGGTCTCGATATAGTTGCAAGTTTTAAAAGTTGCAGCTCGGTCCTCAATATTCGGACCGATACCAGTCCGTATATCTTTGCGATGCCTCTTCCCCCCACAGTTACAGACCATTGTCGGTTCGTATATATTTTATTATTTTATTATATTATTTTTTTGGGACCAATTTCGGTCCGCTTATTTCAATTTCTCAATAATTATTTATATTTCTTACTGAAATATACGGACCGATTTCGGTCCGAACATTATATATATACGAACCGATTATGCGTCGGTCTGTATATTAGACTTATTCGTACCAGGTTTTTTCGGATCAACTATAAGGACCAATATCGGTCCGGATATATGTATTCAGACTGATTTTCTATATATCCGGACCGATTTTTCGGTTCAGAAATCCCATTCCTGCAGTAGTGTTACCAAAGCCGTGTTGCCAAGTTCTACAATAAGCGAGTTCGAGCTTGTCAATTTTAGGTCAGCAACCTAGTTTTACGCAATGCTTATTCAGACATGGGCAAGCTCGCTTTTAATTGAGAAGGTCTTTACATGGTGGTCGTTATTAAATGACCTGAATCTTATTTGTTAACAGATTCATAAGGCCGTCAATTACCATTTACTGCAACATTCTCACGCGCTGGAGAAAGAACGGGTTGAGAAAGCGGTAGGGTGTTGGAGGGTTCAGCTTCCACCTCGGCCATTCCGGCTACACAGGCATCAAATTTTGACAAAGAGTCTAGGTCCTTCCTTTCTTCAAGAATAGTTGGAGGCCATTCAGGCACTCCATCTTCGTTTAGCTCTTATTCCGGGCATACTGTTGTGTTAGTTGGATGAAGCAAGCTCTTTCCTTGCTCGTCAATTTCTTCCACCTCCACAAAGGTCAGCTCGCCTATGGGGAATTCAGGTCGGTGCCGTAGTACCCTCCTTCGAATGTCATCATATATTTGCGTGGTGGTGTTCATTGATGCCACAACTACAGCATCCTGGAACACATCTAAGCCGACTAGCCATTCCGCCCCTTGAGCTCGAGCTATACTTATGGAGTGCTAGTAGGATCTCTTGATTTGGCTCATGGACTCCTGGGCATAGCCGAGGTGTTGATTTGCCGCAACCATCCAAAGCCTCAAAGTGCTCAACTTGTTCAGAACATTGTCCCTCTCAACCTCAGCCTTTTTAGCGCACTCCTCAGCATGCCTAGTCTCTTCCTTTGCTGCTTGAATTCCACTTTCCCTCTTGGCCTCAGTCTTCTCTAACTCTTCTTTCAGTTTATTTACTTTATTGGCTAGCTCGTCAGCTTAGCTCTTAGTTGACGTAGCTTTGTTGGCCATCTCTGAGCTCTACAAATGGTTAACCTCGTCTTCCAGACTTGCCTTCTCAAAAGTTAACCATTTGCAGCTTTCAGTGAGCTTTCGAGCTTGCTCCTATGCCCCCTGCTCACACTTAAATAGCTTAACCGAGTAGGTAAAAGTTTGCCATTCAGTTTGCACTATTATTTTCTAACATAAAATACAAAAGGCGTTTCAACACAAACGTTTAACAAAAACACTTACATCCATCAATTTTAACATGGCAGCATGGCCACCATTCTATTGCATGTAGTTCTTTGAACACTACCAATCCACGGGATAGATGAAGTTATGCATACCCTGTAACATTGCAGCATGGCAGTTTGGCTTCGTATAGCTGAAACCTTCATGGTATGCAATCCTAGGACAGGACGTCTGTGTTAGTGTTAACCCGGTTTCAGCACCATCACGTGCTGGGGCAAGAGGTACGTTATATGAGCGTATTGGGGCAAGCTGAGTCCTAGAGCTTGATCGTCACCAAACAAGAGGTGGCACGTCATCCGTAGCATATACCTCTTCATGCGCATGCCTTCAGGAATCCGAAGGCAAAGTTTCAACTCTTTACTGGGTGTGCACCCTTGATGCCGAGTTGGAACCTCGCTCTTGATGAGACGACTTATGCAATAGTTCTACCGGTCATTTATCAAAATAGGTCGGGCAGTGCAAGCTAGTTTCCCCATGCCTGTTCTTGGACCTTAGCGCTCGCTCTCATTGCCCTTCTAGCATGCTACTTATCTCTCCTGCATAAACGGGCACAATAAGACTTAGCTCAGTTAAAGTTTTGTATTTACAAAAGAAATATACCTTTAACATAAATGTCTGTAGTATCCACAAACCCAAACACCTATAACTGCTCAAGGCTAATTAGGCTCTCTAATTCCACCAACCCCGCCTCTTTCACATAATTCAGCAGCCTATTCTTCAAATCCACTTCACAAGGCCCAGTTGAGGGCAATTCATGGATGTTTGAGGGGTACGCCACTTAGAGATACGAGCAATGAGCTCATTATTCACCTTCTCTATTCACGTATCACGGACGAAGATGAATTGCCTCTTCCACCTCGCCACCTTATTCTTCACATTCTTAAAAAGCATCATTTTTTCTCTCCTAGAGATGTAATACCACCTCATTTGTTTGCTACTTAACCTGCACTGGAAGAGCGACCTGAACACTATTGCCTTTGCAGGAATCTCCAATCTTGTGCATAGCAACATGAACCCAATGATGAACTTTATACTATTAGGGGTTAGTTGCGTTAGTGCCAGCTTATACTTTGCTAGTACATCAAAAATCAACTTGGGCAAAGGAAAACGCAAGCCAGCGTCAAAGTAGTTCACATACACTAGCATCCATCTAGTTTGTGACACCGAGAACGCCCTCTCGTTCTTGGTACCAATTCAGACTAGGATTGTTTTAGGGATTTGGAATTGTCTCACCATTTCCCCTAATTTCTTAAAACCCTTTATCATAGCAGCATCGTTTGTTACTTCGTGGTGGAGTGCCACCCTGAACCTAAATCTAGTAGGTAAACTCTTCGACGCCTTGCGAATATTGTCTAGTTTTCTGGTGATGGTTTTATTCTCTCACTCTTCAAGCACTGGTACGCCCTCCTTCATACTTGTCATTAAAGGACTTCCAATGCCTATTCCAACACTTTCTCCTTCACTGGGCGTCTTTTCTGAAGACGAACCTTTAAAAGACGGAGAATGGTCGTCACTAGAACCATCAGCAATGCTTGGACTAGCGTTGCACTCGAGTGTAATAGATTCTAGCAAGTCTTGTAGCGTTGGCGGCACTATCATAGTAATAAGCTCCACTGATACGACACCCTCTTCCTCCTCCCTGTCCTGGTTACCTCGAAACTCTTTAAGTTCTCTAAAAAACTCCATTTTCAACTGAGTTTTGGGATTGTAAGTTGCTTTACGTCGGTGGTTTTGAGATTTCACTCGAAAACTCGCAACACCTTCACTATAGAAAAATGGCAAAGAAAATTGTAGAAGAGAAAAAGCCAAAGTGGAAAAACAATCGTTTCTAGTTCTTTTTCTTTGACTGTTTATGCAACCTTAATTCCCATACATGTGTCTTTGACACACCAGTTAAATTCCCACACGTGGCAGCCATCTGTGGCCTAACATGTAATGTTCATCAGCTTTAGCTGTCATGTTCCTTCAAATGCTAAGCTAGCATTTATTGTAGGGGAGGCAGAGGGATATCAATTTCTCTGAACCATATCCCCTCAAAGATCTGTTGTTTGAATTTTTAAAAATTCACATGGATGAGCTCATTCAATATGAGCTCATTCAATTCACGAAGATCTGTTTTGAATTTTGAAAATTTCATCATGGCCGCTCTAAACCGCATCACCTCAAAGATCTATTGTTCGAATTTTGAAAATTTCATTATGGATGGGATCGCTCTTAAATCAGATTGTCCATACACAATTATATCCTTAGAGGTTTCCTTCTTAGGGATTTGATCTAAATTTACCGTAGGTGACCTCGTTTAGTGTTAGCTTGTTTGAAAACCATATATACTTTAAAGTTCGTATAGAGCGTTGGAAAAGTTCACTAAGTAAGATCCTTTGGGAAGAGAGGTAACACCAAACTTTGTCATTCACGCTCCAGCTTACCTGGGTTGTTCATTTATGGTTGGACACATGTTCCATCATATAATCCTTGTTCAGCTTGACGACAAATGAGCTTGTTGATAAGCCTAAAAGGCGGTAAGCCTTATTCTTAAGGTTAAATGTTGGGCCGCAAATGTAATTATCCTAGTTCGTCAAGCGAACGCTGAGGAGGGAGTAACGTTGGGAATGAGCCCAACATTCAACCCGGGCCTTATACAGCAAGCCCAGTCATGCATCCCAAAGCCCAAGGTTATCCCAAATGAGTACACATTTACACACTTGCCTAGACATATCCACGGGGTGGCAACATGTAGGTTAATCGGATGTTTACATGTGTGGCCTTATATCATCACAAGGGGCTATAAATACCCCCATCTACCCCCATGCAAGGTAATAACTCCAATATGTTTCTCTCTCTGTAATTACTCTCTTTGAGAGCTTCTCTCTCGAGAATATTAAGTATTGCTAACTTGAGCGTTGTAGTGTCTTTCCGAGGAAACTCCCTCGGGTTTTTCAGATGTTGAAGCAGTTGAAAATCTCTACAGTGTAGGTTTGGGAAGTTACCCAAACAATTCTTTCAACTACCTAGATGGAGGCAGTGAACCCTCCAAACTTGTTAAAGACAAGTGAAGGCAAAACATTTACTGGAACAGGGTCGACAAAACCCAGCATCAAGAATTCTAGATTCGAACTTTCAAACACAACGCTGCTCTGTCCATGCTGACTTTTTAGGTACATCATTAGACCCAAGAAGCCTGCATTTGTTGTTACGTACAAATAGGAAAGAAAGTCCAATTCATTTGAAATGTCAATCATGGGGGTACAGAAGAAATCAAGAACTAACCCAACGATCTGGAATGAACTCGAGACAGAACAAGATGATGAGACAATGTCTCATGCCTGGGACCATTTTTTTGCATGGGGTTGATGTGCTTCAATGAAGGAAAAATAAAAGGCTTCTAAGGAGGGAGAGGTCAAATGGAGAAGGGGTTAGAGGAAGGAGGTCTCGAAGCCGGATGCGAGGTTCAGAGGCTGTGAGGAGTTTGGGAATGCACCAAAAGAAGAACCGAAGGGTGCCTTCATGGAAAGAATAGGTGATGGAAAGTTGATCATCGTGATGAAGTACGCACTTTGCAAGTTCGATAGTGGAGACTTGATGGCCGATTTTCGGCACCGGAATGAAGATCAACCCTGCTTTCTCCATCTCTTTGCTTCTCTGTTTTTCTTAATATTGTGTAAGTTACGCACCAATTGCATATATATTAAATCAATGCTTCGGGACCAATGTATTTATCCACCGAGTCCTAGACGAATGTAATTTGATTCATTCTAAAATAAAATTACATTTATTACCAAAAATAATTATATTTCTTTATGATTTTATTATTTGTTAGTGGAAAAATCTTAAATCAAGATATAATTAATAAAGAAATATGTGAGTAAAATATAAGAAATGTTATTTTATTTATTATCAATTAGTTTTGATACAAAAATTTTAAACTGAATGCAAACTTTGTATCAAAACTTACATGTTCAAAATATAAACCTTTTACTGAAATTCACATATTCAATTTTCATATTATTAAACTGTCATTTCTATAATAAGACCTAGGGTTGAGCATTTGGTTCGAATTGTTTGAACTAAATTAAACTTTTGGTTATCCAAAATAATTTCGGATAAAAGTTTTGTACTCAATCCGATTTTGATTTTTAAAATTATTTGGATAATTTGGTTAATTAACCAAAATAACCAAAATATACCATTATTCTTCTTTTTGTCATTAAAAGCTTTTCTTTTTTTATTTTGATTATTTCTAGTCTTTTTCTTCATATTCCTATATATAATTTTGACTAAAAAAAGAATTTCGTACAAAAAAAATTTCATATAGCACGAAAACTAAAATAAAAAATAAAATAAATTTATACTAAAAATTTTAGAATAATTTTGAATAGCTCATATCAATAATTTCAAATATGGGTTAATAAACATATACAAACGAAAATTAATTTTAGTTATTTCTGTTTTATCTAAATATCCAAACCAAAATACAAAAATTCAAGTAAAAAATTTGGAAAGTTTGGTAACATCCAAAATGTGTCCACCCCCATTAAGACCCATGATTTCATGCTTAAAATTATTATGTTGAAATAAACTCAAGAAGTCAAAAAATAAAACCAAGAAAACATTAATAGTTTAATTGCATATTTGGAAGGCTTGGGAGATTCATCTAAGACTCTATAGTTGATGAAATTGCTATACTCTAGAAGGTTTGAATTTACACATCGGTAGAGGTAAGGAAAGAGGTTAGTGAAGGTTTATTATTAGTTTAAATATCATTTTGGTCCCTCAACTTTTCATTTTGGTATTAAAATTGTCTCTTAACTTTGAAAAGTATCAAAATTATCTTTAAATTTTCATTTTTCGTGTCAAAATGATCTTTTCATCAGTTAAATGGAGGCAAAAGGTACCCGTTTGCCCTTTAACTTTTCGAATTTGAGGCGTTTTACCCTCCATATTACAATACATGGATTTTTACCATCCATATTTTCGAGTTTGAGGAAATGAAGCAAAATTTAACGCCGAAGCGTCATGTGTAGCACGTGCTTTGTTGGCCTCCGTCAAGTATGCACATGTCAGCACCAACTGAGATTTTTTTGACAACTTGGCATGCCAACTTGGACCCCCATGAGTGGGAAGTCTACCTGCTACCAAGTTTATTTGTGGGCCCCATCGCTGACTAAAGGTTTGAAAAAAAAAAAAGATAGATGAATGCAAAGAAATCTATTTAAATGATCCCTATGGCACAAAGAGTTTTGAGTTTCTTTCTCTTCTCTGATCTTCAGAATCACTCCCATTTCATTTACTTGTTCAATGGCTAGCTCTAGCAGCTCTCACACTTCAGCACCGGTGGAATTTGGAAGACACGAGTATGATTACGAGGGGCCAAGTCAGTTTTGCTTTTGTGGTTTGAAGGCTCTGAGGATCATGTCTTGAAGCGAAAAGAATCCTGGTCGAAGGTTTTTTGGATGCCCAATCTATGATCCCATGATAATTTCTTCCCTAATGTTTGATTTTAAACTAGTGTGTTGTTTAGGGGTTTTTTTGTTAAGATATTTTGCAAGTATTGTGTGGTAATGTTTAGGGTTTTGCTTGGCATAAAGATCGAGTTTTGATTAATTGTTAATGAAATGTGATTTTTGGACATTTGCAGAATAAAAAGCGACAGTGTAAGTATTTTGTGTGGTATGATCAAGATTTCTCTTTTAGGGCTAAGGAGGTTATCTCGTGGCCGCACAACGATAAGATAGAATTGGAAACTAATTTGGATGATGCAAGGAAAAGGATCAAAGCTCTTAGGAATGTTTTGAAGCGTTATGAAGAAAAAGGAGAGCAATAGATTGAAGCATTGGAGAAGAAAGTTAATGATTTGCAGATGTTGGTAACAATGACAATGGTGTATACTACGAAGCTAGAGAAATGGAAGAAATGTGGTCAAATATCTTTGGTCATGGCTGTTTTTCTTGCTATTCTACTTGCTTTTCTTGTTTAAGAGTTGGGTTCTACTTGTTGATGGGAACAAGGGTTTCAAAAGGCTTGAAAATTAAGAAACTAGGCAAATGGGGATAGTTTTGTTTTTTGGGCATTATTTGTTTTTTGGTGGGCAATGTGGTTGTCTTGAATGGTAGTGTTGAAGGTTTGTAGATACTGCCCCTAATAATTCTAATATGGGGTCTCATTTCTCCCCGAGCTTTGTAATTTATTTTGAATATAATGAATATAAATTAAGTTCTCCATAATTGTTACCTCATTTTTTTAATATTGATCAAATGGAAATAGCTTTTTGTGCTATTAATATTAACAATATTAACAACCATAAAAGGTAAAATATCACTTATCATTAATTGATATAATGAATATAAATTAACTTCTCCAGAATTGTTACCTCATTTTTTTAATATTGATCAAATGGAAATAGCTATTTGTGCTATTAATATTAACAATATGAACAACCATAAAAGGTACATAAATAAGGAAATATCACTTACCATTTACACAATTATCTTGTTAGGATTGCACAAAAGTTGACAAGAGACAAAGATATCCACCATTTTCCCAAAATCTCATCCCATACTCCAAAAATCCAAAATAAAAAAATGCAACATATTCTTGCCAAATACAGATCCTACCAAAGTAGATACAAGAGCATGTGAGTCACTTTGTTTCCATGCATTTACTGCATTTACATATTACCTATAGAAAACACATTTTGCAACCTTAAACCAAAGTTCTTTACTCCCATGCATCAAACCAAAAAAAAAAAAGAAGAACCATTCCTCAAGCTTCACTTGATCCCTTCTTCTTGGTTGATTTCTGAGGTGGCTGTGCCTTATGAAATTGGCTAGGATGGGTATGTCTCATAGTAGTCTCCCTTTGCAAACCTTGCTGCATAAATTAAATTCTAGTATTATAAAATAAATGATCAACACAATTCACACTCTTAGTTGAATGTTAAGCTTAAACTCACAAGGTTCAATTCTGGTGAATTAATGAATTCACCAACTCTGTGCTTCTTCTTTCTTCCTAGTCCATCAGATTGACCAGACTACATGATAAAAAAAAAGCAACAATAATAGACACATATAATTAGCAATTTAGCAGTATTAATAGGAAATTATAGATCCTAAGCAATTACCACTCAATAAACTTACATTTTCATCAACAAAATATCTAGCAGTGCATGTTGTCCTGGTGTGACTAGGCTGCTTACAATATCCACAAGTTAGAGGTTTTCTTGGTATTGGCTGGTGAGTGCTTGCTGATGCTTCCTATTGAGTATGAAACAAAAATGTTATTATATTATCATTTGTTGATAATAAAGCAGGTGTAAGTAATTAACTTACTTCACTTTCAGTTGGCCTTTTGGGGCATCCCCTCTTGTTATGTCCAGGTTGCTTGCAAAGTAAGCACGTGATTTGTCCACCTTCCTTTGTCATCTTTTCTAGCTGTCCCACCTTCACCTTTTTGGTTTCATTATCACCCTTCCTCCTATTCACCTTCGGCCTACCCTGCTTGCATCTAAATGGCAGTGATTCTAGTGGCTCCCCATGATAATTTTCTCGAAATTTCTCACCATTACAAGGCATGATTGGTACATTGTATGCACGTTCATACTTAACCCTTTTGTACCAAATTGATACAAATTCATCCGGGTTGAAGTTACCTAAACCTATCGCAGACAATGCATGAGGACATGGAATTCCTGTTAAATCCCATGCTCTACAACTACACTTTTTCCCAATCAAATCCACAACAAATTTGTCATTCCAATGCCAAACATCATATTGGGTCCTGCCATTCCATTCACATCTGTATTTGGCAACTTCAATCTTATGTGCTTCTAATTTCTTCCTAATTCTGGGTGCTATATTTCCTCTCCATTTGCTGATTTCTTCTTTGTTCTTAGCCATCCTAACCATCACCTTAACCCTTATATATTCTAACAGTTGGATGATTAGCATATACCTAGCATCCATTATCCAATTGTTGAAGGTTTCATTTATGTTGTTATCCACCACATCACATTTACATGATGTGTCAAAGAATGCCTTGCACCACAGGTCTGGTGGGATTGATTTTAAGGCATCATGAACTTTCACGGATAAATTTTTGATCTCTTCCATGTTTTTGTTGAATTGACCTTCATATGTTGACCTTGCAACAATCCAGAATCTTTTTTTCAATAGTTTCCCTTTGAAAATTTTTTGCCAATTGGCATATAAATGCCTGGCACACAATCTATGCCTAGCCTTGGGGAAAACTGTTTGTCTTGCATTGATTAACCCCTACCAAATTGTGTTTAATGAAAACAAATAAGGTTAATGATTGATAATAAAGTCAATTGAATTATACAATAAATATCATTGATGAGTATAGTAACATAAAGATATTGATAATATAAATTAATTCATAATAGATTGTGCACACTTACAGGATGTTGGTCCGAAAGGAACGTTAAATCTCGCCTAGTGTGATTTGATAGATCATCAGCTAGGCATCTAAAAAAAAACATCCATGAGCTAGTAGACTCTGAGTCAACAACAGCCTAAGCTATTGGGAACATTTGATTGTTCCCATCCCTTGCAACAGCTGCCAAAAGAGTTCCTTTGAACATCCCCTTGAGGAAACATGCATCTACTCCAATTACTGGTTTACAGCCCAGTAGAAAACCCTTCCTACATCCTTCTAGACACACATAGATTCCTTTAAACGTAGGTTTTCCCTCTGGAGTTGTGGGTGGCTCACTGTTAATTTGAACATTTGACTGAGGGAACAATCTCAACAGCTCTTCTACATACCCTCTTAACTGAGCAAATTCCTTCGTGTGAGTTTCCTTCACCTCCTTCATAATCCTTTCCTTTGCTAGTTTAGACTTATCCCTTGAAACATGAACTCCTAATTCTAAATGAGACAATCTCACTATCTCACTGATTATGATCTGCGGATTTGCAAAAATTCTGTTCCTATGGTGTTCTGCAAGTATCCTTGACCCAACCATATCGGACTTCAAACTCCTAAAGCAAGTGTGTTCCCTGCAATATGTCTTCACCTTAAAAGTCTTGTCATTTTTATCAAAACTGGCAAAGATACTCCAGTTGCACTGTTGACCAATACGGTGAATTCTCTGCCTGGTGGGGTCACTTTTAACAGGTTTCAACTTACAGCCTTTTTGAATTTGGTACTTAGCTATAGCCTCTTTAAACTGTGCTACATGCTCAAACGTCATCCCTACCTCAAACCAAACAGTAGTCCATGAAGGATTAAACCATAAATCACTACTTCTAGTAGTTATTACATCTTCTTCTTCTTCTTCTTCTTCTTCTTCTTCTTCTTCAAGTTCATGTTCATCTCCAACATTGTACTCACCTGAATCATACTAGAAACCTCAAATTTATCTTCACTATTTTCAAAGCTAGAATCATAACCCAAATCTCCATGGTCATCAGTTCCTATAGGAACCTTTTCACCCTCTTCATTAACTGTGGTAGGGGAGTCATGGACTGTGCCACTTGGTCCAGCACCATCTGCATTTTTTCTTGCACTTGCACTGGCTTTGTGTTTCTTTTTATTGCGAATAGATTCAAGCACCTCCTCATCATTTGCATCACTAGGCACAATATCAAGTAAATCCTCATCATCATGATCATTGTTCTATAGATCTTCTTGTTGGGTTTCATCACCTCCATGCAATGCATCTGTTTCATTAGCATCACCTTCAGCTGTTGTTTCTGGAGCTTCATGAAAATTTGGGGCTGGTTGTGAATTTTGTGTCACATAGCCTTCCCCAATGTCCATTGTACCTTCATCAATTGGTTCTTGCAGAATAGTGCCACCTTCAAGCAAATCTAAAATACTTGGCTCATCACAGACATGCTCAACATACACATCTATAATTCCCTTTTCATTTAAAAGGTACCGCATGTGAATAAGCTCCTGCTTACTATTTATAACCTTTACTGCTTCACCAAATTTTTCCACATAAGGATTTTTGTAATATATGTCCTTAAAATGCATATATCCGAGGCTTTTTACCCTCTCCTCTAAAGACGACAAAGTCACACAATGATATTCAATATCCTCATCATGTACTTCGCCTGCAGCATACCTAAGATCCGTTCTACTACTCATGCAAAAAGTGCCACTATGGTGAATTCTTAATGTCCCCATTGTTGTCATATGGGAAGAAAAAGATATAAATTAATATAAATTAACACACGTTTAAGCATTAAATCTATAAATCAAGTTATTGATTACAAATTTATAGATTTAGAAATAACTAATTTACAGTAATAGCATAAATCCTAAACTAAAATTTCTTCAATACTTTTACAATCATGATTGAAATTGAATTCAACACTAACAGAAAAAGTAAAAGAAAACAGAAAAGTATAACTTTTCAGTTTAATTACTAAGTAAATTACATGAACCCTAAAACCCTAAAAAGTGACGAACACTGCTTAAATTTATTTTAATTTTAAATAAGCCCTAAATCTTAATTACATATCACTTCTAACACAAATCCATGACCCGTATGCTAAATATCAATAAAAGTTAAACAAGTTTTTGTTAGAATAAAAGGAAAAATACCTGTCAATGGCACCAAGAACAGTGTCAGAATTGTCTGTGCTTTGTGGTCCCTTTCGAATGTTCTATTCTATTCCTTCAATGGAGATTCGTTTGGTTGGTGGGTGGAGTAAAGTTGTTTCCTTCTGTGGTCCTTTTCTGGGTTGTGGGGTTAATAGAAGCTTTTGTTTGTTCTCGATCACAACGCTTGGAGTCGGATGGTTTCCTGGCATTCATTTGTCTTTTTTTTTTTTTTTAAACCTTTAGTCAGTGGTGGGACCTACAAATAAAATTGGTAGCAGGTAGACTTCCCACTCATGGGGGTCCAAGTTAGCATGCCAAGTTGTAAAAAAAGTCTGAGTTGGCGCTGACATTTGCATACTTGACGGAGGCCAACAATGCACGTGCTATACGTGACGCTCCGACATTAAATTTTGCCTCATTTCCTCAAATTCGAAAATATGGAGAGTAAAAATTCATGTATTGTAATATGGAGGATAAAACACCTCAAATTCAAAAAATTAAAGTGCAAACGAGCACCTTTTATCGTTAAATGGATAAATAACATGTTAAAATACCACAAAATCATTGAATTTTTTAAATTTTAATGGCGCATAAAGCCAACGAAAAAAATTCTACCACGTTACATGTTTTTTCACACGTCAAATTGCTTTCTTATTTTCAACTTCCCCTTTTAATGGAGCCCACATGAAAATTTGTTTTCTCTTTCTCAATTTCAATCGAGTTCCCCAAAAATGTCAGTGTTCCTCGTTTCTCTTTTCATTTCCATTTCAGATTCCAAACCCTAAACTTGTTACTTCTGCAATATCACAATCCAATCAGGCTTTATATCACGAGTCAATCAGTTGATAGATCCATTCAATGGATAACGAACCTTCGATTTTGCCCCAAACACATCACTTCCACCAGACAATTTAATCTTAATCAATCTAAATTCAACCTTCAAATTAAAAGCCACCTTCTAGGTTCATGACCCCAGATCAAGATTCTCCCTCTTCAATCTTGAACCCAGATCGGGTTCAATCTATTTAGAACCCACCTGGGTTTTGGATTGGATCAAGTTCTCTTGGTTGGGTTCTCAACAAAAAGAGAAAAACAAAAAAGAAGAGGAGAGAAGAGAGAGAAGAAGAAAGAGGAAAATCAGAAAGGATGATTACGATGAAAATTAGACCTAGATCTGATGAAAGGTGTTGTGCGTCCTTGACAAATGAATCAGATCAAGTTCTCCTGGGTGGGTTCTCAACAAAAAGAGAAAAACAAAAAAAGAAGAGGAGGGAAGAGAGAGAAGAGGAAAGAGGAAAATCATAAAGGATGATGAAGATGAAAATCAGACCTAGATCTGATGAAGGGTGTTGTGCGTCCTTGACAAATGAATCGGATCAAGTTCTCCTAGGTGGTTTCTCAACAGAAAGAGAAAAACAAAAAAGAAGAGGAGAGAAGAGAGAGAAGAAGAAAGAGGAAAATCAGAAAGGATAATGAAGATGAAAATCGGACCTAGATGTTGTTGTGTGTCCCTGACAAATGCTTTAGTAAGGAGTAAGATTAAGGAAAGAGGCATGTAAAACGAGAAGAGGGTGAAGATGGAGAAAGAAAGAGAAACTGTAATTGCACCAAACCAGAAGTCCTTCTTCAGTCCGCACTTGCACTTCAAGATGACCTGCAAAGCCCCGAGGTGGAACTCGGGGTAGACACTCCGATGCTTAAGTCAGCAATAATCGGGGCTACCTTTAAGGCGGAGATAAGAAAAGCTTAAGGTTGGTTTCAATTACCTTTTTGACGTGGCCCGGAAGGGGTATTTATAGGATCCAATGAGGAACCCACGTGGCATGCCAAACAAGATAATCGGAGCCTGACGTGTCCATCAAGACGGTATTTCCGGGACCGGGAATTTGAGAGGTATCCAGATGCACGAGCGTCCACCATACTTGTTGTGCCACTCATCGTAAGGGATCAAGTACGGGCATGCTTATTGTCCTTGTCATGCAGCCATTTGAGCGGGAAGCTTTGGATTTATTCCTCACTTCGGTCATAAAGGAATTACTGTAGC